ACACAAATCTTTATTTCGAGAGGTGTGATTATAGGAAGGTTAGACTGTATATATATATTTTTAAAAGAATATTTTATTATTAATTTTAGCAAAAATTAGACAAAAAAAATTACAAAATGCTAAAAATGATAAAATAAAATTGAGTCAAAAATTTGTTAACCGATCAGTTAAAAAACGCCAAAGAATTCTCCAAAAAAAGACACCAAGGAAACTGAGATAACCAATAAAAAAATGCCAAAGAAGAAAAAAAAATAAAGAAACCACAAAAAAAAAAAAAAAAACACTAAAGAATTCTATGTCAAAAAAAAAAAAAAAAGAATATGCTAATGGGACGTCGAACAACCTCCAAGGAAATATCAAAGAATTCTCCAAAGAACGCGCCTAGGATTGAGGATAGATCCTATTATGACTATTCAGTATCCGGATTTTACATGGATATTAATAACCGAAAATTTGCTTTTGATTGAATATTCACGCATCGCGTGTTAATATATTTCGAGAATTCTTTTTGTATAATGTAAAAAATTTCACATGTGATTACCTAGAATTAATAGAAACAACCCTTTTTAAGATATACTATACATGAAGAATATCGTTTCAAAATTCAAGTGTTTATTTTATATTTTGCAGGTTCTGATAGAGGACCTCCGAAAACCCGGATCACATGTTTATTTAAAGAACAATAAGCCTCTCATTGGTAAACAATCATCATGTGATCCGGGTTTTTGGAGGTCCTGGTCTGATATAGGTCTGATAAACCAGACTTTGACGATCATAACGATAAATGAACCTCCCTCCATACAGAATTCAAAATGGAAATTACAGTTACGTACGTAATCATTTTCATTGTCAAAATTTCCATTTTTGAACTCTACCAACATCTATCTTTTTCGTTATATAGACATCACGATGATTATTTATGCATGTTGCATAAATAAGGTCTAGTGATTTTTGAAACTGCCTGATAATTCAATTAGGCGTATTTTTCGACATCACCGGAAAAACAATGTTTTCTGTGTCTACAGTTGATCAGCAGGTTGCATATTGAAATCGAATATGAGATGAATTAATATTTTTTTTTTAATTTTAATAAAAATGAATTCTTCCCATTATGATTCGGTCGAAAATTATAATCTCGGATATAAATTTCAAGATGGTATAGGAATCAAAAAAAATGAAAATGAAGCCTTCCTTTATTACCAAAAGTCTGCAGAAGAAGGCCAAATTTTTGGATTGTTTCAGGTTGGTTATTGTTATCAGCATGGAATTGGAACTGAAAAGAATGAAAAAAAAGCATTCGAATATTATAAAAAATCTGCAGAGATGGGCTTTGAAGAGGGAATATTTAAAGTTGGAAGCTGTTATGATAAAGGCATCGGAGTCGAAAAGGATGAAAAGAAGGCATTCGAATATTTTAAAAAACTTGTAGAGACGGATGGAAATGTAAAGAAGGTATTCGAATATTGTAAAAAATTTGCAGAAATGGGTGATGTAGAAGAAATATTCAACG